CTATAATCCTAAATGCATATCAAACTGAAGGCATAATTACATTAATAAATTATGAGAAATGGTTCCTAAACACACACTTCAACTCTGCATCCCCTAATGCCCTAGGTCTTGGAATCAGAGGAACCATCAGGAAATCAAGTTTAAGCCAGTGGGCTTGTTACTAGAACTATATGACTTAATAAAACAAAAAACCTTTGGGGACAGGGAGCTGGTTCAGTGGGTAAAGAGCTTATTGCTCAAGCATGAGGACCTGAGTTCAAGTCCCCAAGAGCCACATAAAAAACCCAAGCATATTTGGTTCCAGCACTGGGGATGGAGAGGCAGGAGGCCCCTTTCTCCTGGAAAAAGTCAAGAAACAAGGACAGCATGGTCACAATGAACCCTGTTACCAAGAGTGTAATTATAGGTAAATGCTTATCTACAACTCAGAAAATAAAATGAGAGAGCTCTTATTGGTTAAATATTGGACATTTTGAGCATGTGACTAGAACACATTCACCTACTATAACACAGTGGTACATTTAAAAATCTCCCAGCAGTCCCAATCCAAAGCTGCCAGTGCACCCGTTGGTCACTGAGAAAACCAACCTGTGCCACCATTTCTGTAGGAAATCTACTTCACGTTGACCAAATTGATTCCAGAAAATGTATTCAGAGTGAATCCAAGAATCCAAGTGAGGTAGCACATTACTGTAATTCCAGCATTCACCTGGGAGACTGAAGTTTGGAGATCTTTAACTGGAGCTCAGAGTACCAGTACCAGAAAAAAAAAAGGCACTCCTTGGCACCATGCACAAAGGAGGAATGATAAAATCAGGATGACTGCAATTGAATGGTCTCAATCATTGCCAAAGATGCTGAAACAATGAGAAAAGTCATGGGGAAATGTGTCACAGATGAACCCCTGACAGCAGAGTTTACCTGTTAAACTGCAGATTGCTGAATATCTGAACTCTAACTTAGCCACCTATATAAAACATGGAGGACAGAGAATCAAGTAGGTTGTCACCATGCAGAAGCAATATAGATTTTGGGGAATTGTGTAAACCAGGTAAGCTGATCCCTTAAACAAGTAGATGGGACCAAGATCAGTTGCAGCACCAAAGACACTTTGAAAAATTAACGAGACAGGTGTGGTGGCACACACATGTAATCCCAGCCCTTGGAGGCACAGGCAGAAGAATCAGGAGTTCAAGGTCATCTTTAGTGAGTTTGAGGCCAGTTTATGCTACATAAGTTAAGTAGGCCAAAAAATATTGAATAATGAAAGTAACGTGTTGATTTATCAAGAGTCTGAAACCCACTTGGTCATTCTCTGTGGCTCTGGCAGGCTTGCCCTGTAGTGTGGCTGAAACCTGTGGCTGTGAAGATGTATTTTGTACTGTCTCCTGGTTAGGACCCATGGCCTCACCCCAGCCAGTGCTGGGGACAAAGCTGAAAGTGTCCACATGGAGGCAGTGAACACAGGTTCCCCAGATTCTGAGTCATCTTGTCACCCATGGTGACCCCCAAGCCAGTATACAGGCATCAAGAATAGGATAACTGGGTGTGTTAGTTAGGGTTTCTATTGCTGTGAAGAGACACCATGACTATGGCAACTCTTGTAAAGGAAAATATTTCATTGGGGTGCCTCGCTTACAGTTCAGAGGTTCAGTCCATTACCCTCATGGTAGGACATGACAGGATGGTAGACATGGTGCTGGAGAAGGAGCTGGGAGCTCTACCTCTTGATCCACAGGAAGCAGAAGGAGACTGTGTGTCACATTGGGCATGGCTTGAGCATATGAGACCCCCAAAGCCTGCTTCCACAGTGTCACACTTCTTCCAACAAAGCCACAGCTACTCCAATAAAACCAAACCTCCTAATAGTGCTACTCCCTACAGGCCAAGCATTCAAACATTCGAGTCTAGGGGGGTCATTGATGGGAGATGTCCTGTTGTGTGCTGCGAATATGTGTTTTTCTTATTGGTTGATGAATAAAGCTGTTTCAGCCATGTGGGAAATCCAAACAGGGATAGAAAAAGGTAATAGGAGGATTCAAGAAGACACCGGGAAGCTGCTGAGGAAACAAGAGTTAAGACTGGGCTGGTTTAACCCACAGAAACAGTTGACCTGAACCAGGGGGAGCTCTTGGATCCCAGACTGATGGCTGGGAGGACAGCATGGGACTGACCCAGACCCCCTGAATGTGGGTGTCAGTGAGGAGGCCTAGGTAATCTATGGGGCCTTGGTTAGTATTTATCCCTGGTGTACAAATAGACTTTGAGTGCCCATGCCACAATATGGGAGGCTCTCTCAGCCGGGACTCTTGGGGGGAGGGCCTAGGCCCTGCCCTGGATGAAATGATAGTCACTGGAGATCCACCATGGAGGGCCTCCCCCCTCCCTGGAGATCGGAGTGGAGATTGGGTGGGGGACTGGGGGACCTGGTGGGGTGGGTGGGGGAGGAGGAGTGGGAGAGGGAACTGGGATTGACATGTGAAACAAGATTGACATGTGAAACAGTATTTGCCTTCTGATGATTGGCTTATTTCATTCAGAATGTCCCCGAGGTTCATCCATGTAAATCGGGTCACAGAGCATGTCCTTACAGTTGAATAGTAAATCAGAACAGATAGCATGATAGAGCGACAGATGCCTCTCTATCATTGGCTGACAGATGATAGGTACATGCAAGGATTATAGATAGATGATAGATGAATAGATTGTAAATGCATAGATACATATAGATAGACAAACAGAAAAAAGTTACATAAGATCTGATTATGTATTTTATGCTAAGACTTTTGTCCACTGGGTAAACAAGTAGGTGCTTAAATTTGCATTTCTTAGACTTCTAATAAAATTGAAACTTTTTTGTTTCAGATAGACAGATCAATAGATGATAGATTATGGCAGTTGGAAAGATGAATGAATAATGATGATAATATCTACCTAGCTGGATAGATAATAGTGGATAAATAGATGATAGATAAATATATGTTAGATAGATAGGTAAATAGATGATAAATAGGTAGGTAGATGATAGGTAGATGATTGATTGAAAGATGATAGATTATAAATAGATGATAGATAGATAGATAGATAGATAGATAGATAGATAGATAGTGTCATCATTAGGGTTACCATTGCTGTGAAGAGACAACACTGCTCTGGTTTCAGGGCCAAAGTGCATTTCTTTCTCTGGTCCTTTTTAGCCTTTTGGCTCCAATTTTAGGGCCAGGGTGCATTTCTTTCACTGACTCTGATTCCAGGGACGAAGTGTGTTCATTTGGCACTGGTTTCAGGGTCAGGGTACGTTTCTTTAGTTCTGGCTGCAGGGCCAAAGTGCGTTTCTTTGACTGGTCCCTTTTCCCTACACACAGTTCATAACTCACATGTGCCTAACTCTGCCCACCCACAAGATGGAGGTGAGGCAAACATCCTGCTTGATTCTCACAGCTTCCACAGAACCCCAGGTGTTAAGATCTGAACACCCATGTCACAGATGAAGTGAAATGTCAGCATTAAGCAACAGGTTCAAGGCCACCTCACTAGCAAGCAGTGCAGGAATTGGAAGTTCCTCCTCACAGAATGCAAAGGCTGTGAGGTTGACAAGGTCCATCTCTGTCCCTCCCCTGTTTCCCATCTCCAGGGTGTGTTAGTTTTATAAATGCAGTAGAACACGCTGGAGCACAGCTACGGAAACAGTTCCAACCCACAGGACACTGGAAAGGGGAAACACAAAACTGTTGCACACCACTGCGGAGTCCCAGTATATTTCACTGTGTCATTTTTAAGCCCACAGGTCTGTTTTATAGATATAATTTTACATACATATGATCAAATTACACATACAATTTTTAACTTTTTTCTTGCCCCATGGTACTAAGGGACTCCATTAATTTCCTTTCTGTAGACTGCCTGAAGGTCTATAACATACTTAATCCCACTCCCCTTTTTTCACATTGGGCATTTGAGTTTGTCTTTTATTTATTTAATTTTGTAGAATGATTCTTTTTCTTGATAGTTTGCCTTTTTGGGACATTTTTATTTCCATCTCTAGCCCGGACACCCAATGATCTTGAGTTCCCTCTCTCCTGACTTTTTTGAGAGTTTAACCCCTGGAAAGAAAATGGTCTTTCAAACTGTAATGTACATGATCAATAAAACCTAATCCACTGTATTTTGAAGGTTCTTTTTTAATTAATCGGTTTAAACCAAAGGAATGGGATTCTAATTATGAGGTTCTAGCGATCAATTAATTTGGACAAGGAGATTCCCCTGACACCCAACTACAGAGTAAACTCCATACTGCCAAAAAGGTACAGGGCTCACTTAGTTATGGTGGTGATAATGCTAACGGCAAGTGAAGAGTCTGCTTAAATTAGGGTGAAAACAAAGAGAAATTCAGTTAGTGCAGAGTGTGTGGCCACACTAAGCCAGATTCTCCAACAACATCCTGTAAGGTATTTGGCCTTGGGGATGGTATGGGCCCACCCACCTTTCACACCAGCCAGGCGTGGTTCTCACTCCTAATTATGGAGTAATGGCCACAGAGCAAGTCCTAGGGGTACAATTGTTAAATCGTGCAAGGCACCTAATTGTTAAATTGACCACCGCCTTGAGCAAGCCTGGGTCCTGGCGGATCCTGTCTGAGCTGCGCGTCAGAGAATTAAATAATCCCGCGGGGAATAGCAGAGACCGGTCAATAGCAGAGACCCGGTGGGAAAATTCCCCAAACCAGCTCTAAAGTCACAAGGTGTTCCTTCTTGGCCTGGCGCCCAAAGCAGAAAAGCATCCCCACTTCGAATCCCCTAGCAACCGGTCAGGGCTGTGTGTCCCTAAGGAGGATCTCAGTAGGTCAGAAGCTCCTCCGGTGGGAAGCCTCCACTCGGAACAGAGGGGGACCCGATCGCCCCACGAGCGCCTCCCCACCGGGACGCTCCGCCCTCGGCCTCGCTGGTTGGCTGTGGCGCTGCAGCGAGCGGCGGCAGGAGGAGCCCAGCGCGCCTGCCACGCAAAACCACTGTGCTCAGTCCCCAGCGGCGGTGGCAGCGCTGACAGCAGCCGGTGCGCTGTGTCCCCGCAGCGCCCAGTACCCAGCATCCCGCATCCTGCATCCGCCACGCTCCTCGAGTCCCCAGCTAGCGCCAGTACCCACCATGGGGAAGCCCACGAGCTCTAGATACGACTGGCGCCGCTTCCTGCGGAATAACTGGCTGCTGCTCTCCACGGTGGCCGCCGTGGTGCTAGGTGAGGCGCGCGGGGGGCGAGGCACGCGCCCGGGGACAGGCCGCGTGCGGGGTCGGGTGGGCTCGGTGTGGCTGTCCCTGCTTGCATTCCCCGGGCCTGAGCCCCCGAGCTCGGGGACAACCCGAACGCTTTGCTTTCACGTGGGGGAACAATGCTCATAGGGAACCCCCATTCGGATGCTCCTGGAGCTGCTGTCCTTGCTTTCTCCAAAATGATCAAAGGAGCTTGGAAGGTGGACAGGGGTCATTTGAAAACAAGCAGAGTTTAATTTAATCCTCATCCTTAACTGTTCCCACACACACACACACAGCCACCACCACCACCTTCGTGCCCGAAGAGACTGTATGATCTACAATTCTCTGTGGGATTTGAGGAGACATCTGGGCCTGCAGGATGGTGGAGACCCTGGAGATGTTGGAACCTCTGGCAGGGGGTAGGAGCGCCCTTACAGGATTTCTCCTCCAATCAGATTCAAGCCTGAATTCCCACCTAGCAGTTGTGGCTCAAGGGAGACCACAGGCAACCAGCCTAAAGAGAACCCAGCCCCTTTCCTCCTCCTGGGCTACCTGCTCACCACATATTTCCATTAAAAATAGTATAAGCCGCTTTTATTTGTTTTCACACTCGCATGTATTTAAGTGACCCACGCCTGACATATGGTTGAGCCAGGACTGGGTACATGTCTGAGCCATTTCTCAGAGGTTTGAGTTCCTCGTGTTTAGAATGTCATTTTCTGGCCAGGTTATCTTTCTAACTTGAGCTTGACAATGTACTTTAGGGTGGAAGCCCTGAGGGTCTTTATACCCCAGGCAGGACAGCCCAGCAGGTGATGGCAGGTGCACCTTGAGGGAAAGTGGGTTCCTAGGCAGCCTCCACCCTCTGTCTGGAAATCGAAGTTGCCTCAGCTGGAAAAGGGATGGGGCAGCTGGTTTTTCCTGGGTATTGCACTTTGCTCGAGTCTGGGACTGCTTGGTGCTGCCTGCTCTCCTCCAAGGTCTTCTCCACCAAAAAATAAAATGCCTTAAGACGTTAATGGAATCCTTGGGGTTATATGGGCTCCTCTGGAACCTTATGCAAAGGGAAGCCAGGCTTCTAGTAAATAAATAACATCCTGGAATCGCCTTAACAGAGGACATTTGTGGGAGGAAAGGGGGGAGTAGAGCCGCTAGTGTTCACTTTCCTCAGAGCCAAGTGGTTTGGGGCGTGGGGTGGGGGGCGTTATTTTGCGTCACCACATTAAAATAACAGGCCCTTCCGAGAGAGTGAATGATTTGAAGACATGTTTGTTTTCCCAATGATGAGTACAAAATTTATTTTTAAATCTGTTTTTGAAAACCTTGGAGGTGACTAAAGCTTGTGTCTCCTTCCCAGTTCTGTGTGTGTCTGCAGCCCTGGGCACCCAGAGAGTCTGCTTGGTCACCAAGTGTTTCCAACCCAGCAGCTGGCATGAGCATCGGTGCCCCGCAGCTCACACACCGACTGAGCAGAGGTCATTCTGGGAAGGGAGTTTGGTCTTTACTCACTGGCCTTTGAACCAGTAGCACAGGCAACATGCTCAGGCCGGAAAGGTTTCCCTCCTATTCTCGGGCATGGCCTGTGGTCTCCAGTCCACCCCTTTCCTCAGTTTGAGTGTGGGTGAGCTGCACAGGAACTTGTTCTGGTATTTTCTTTTAGCCACAAGTTTACCATTTAAAACTGCAAGTGCCCAGCAGAGGCCTTAGCAATCACTTGCTCTTTCTGAGACATGTAGGATAGACTTAAGTATGCTACTGTCTCGTCAGGAGAAACCATCAGGGTACCCAAGCAGGCACTTGCTGGAGTCCTCCTCTTTGCCACTCAGAGCCCCTTTGATCTGAGTGAAAACTTGAACTTGGCTTTGTCCAGTCTACACTGTCTTGCCTGTTTAATAAGCAATAAAATCCCAGCCACTTGTCCTGAGTATTTACTAACCCTTTTGAGGCTGTGCTAGTCAAGTTTTTCTACAGCTGCCTGGATTGATTCAACAAAATTACCAGAGCCCTCATGAAGCTTTCTTTAGGGAGTTTTTGGGCATATAGACCTTTAAAAAATAAGGAAAAAATGTTAAATGCTGTTAGTTCTTCTGTGGAACCTTCTGAACACAGCCATTGGAATATTTGGCCCCTGAAATAAGTTGGCAGCTCTGATTATGTAAAATACTTTGGTTAGTGAAACTAAGGGCAAAGTTTTCTTTTTTCCAGGCAAGGTGGCACAAGCCTGTCATCCCAGAATCAGGAGGTAGAAACAGGAAGATCAAGAGTTCAAGGTCAGCCTTGGCTACCTAGTGAGTTTGAGGCCACATTGGGCTACATGAGACTGTTTCAAAAAACTCTGAGTGTGTGTCTGTGTGTGCATGTGCACACGTGTGTGTGTGTATGTGTGTGTGTGTGTGTGCGCACCCGCGCACGCGCTCAAGCTCCTATTTAAAGCCTCTGATTGACTTTCTGAGATATAGCTTGTAAGGAAAAACACAATTAATTAAACATCACTTTCATTTGATGTGTGATGTTAACTTGGTTTTTAATGGCCAAGGAGATTCTGTGAGAAGAATTTGACAAGTCCTTATTTGGTACTAGGTAGGTGACTGTCTTTGACAATTTATGTGAAACCCTACAAGATCCTGAAAGTAATGTTTTTACCTGAGAGGATCATCTTAATTGGGTTCCCATTCCCATAGTACAGTAGAATAAGCATGGTGCCTCCAGTCAAGAACCCTGCACTTGACACCAGAGATGTGCCTGGAGTTGCTGTCTAGATTCATTGCTTATTCTCTGGGTTCCCTCATCTTAAAAAATGAGAACATGTGTGACCAGAGTTGATTAAGATACTGTGGAAATAGCCAGTTTGGGAATGGCACGCAATAGGCATTCAGTAAATACTACATGGAAGAAAATCTGAATTTAAATATGATGAAATTAAGACTTTCTTTTGAAATTGAGTCTCAATTCTGCCTAATGTCCAGTTTATAATTTGAAAACCATAGTAATGGTTTTAATGGCATTTAATGACATGCTCCATTGAAACCAATGCCAATCTCTATAGCATTAGTCGCTTTAAAAAGGGAATAGAAAAAGTTAGTGACTTCGTTTTGTTATCCTATGGATTAATTCTCAACTTGCTCAACAGGCAGGAAGTCAGTGGGAAGAAATTTCACAGTCTTCGTGGGAATTATGTCTAAGCAGAATTCCTGTGTGTGAGAATTCAGCTTGTAGTAGGGCTGCTTGTAGTACTGGGGAGATACTTGTGGACTCCCCATTACACTCACTACGGGCAGTATCATCTCCCCTCCAGGTTTTGCGTGGAGAAATCTGCAATGTCCAGCTTTGGGACTTTCAGAAAAGGCCACAGATACTGCTTGCACTAGGGAGCTGTCAAACCTGTTCACTGTTGAGCCGTTCCTATGAGCTCTAAGGAAGCTATCATCTATATTGTACAGACTCTGAGATAATTACCCCAAGTTCTCAGTAACACACTTATTCAGCCTTGTGTCTTCTGCCCCAGAGTGGCTCTGGGCATGCCTGACAGTGTTCATTTGAACCTAGTCTTTGCTTTCTGCTGTTTCATTTTGGAGCCGGCCATGAATCACATGACTCCAGACTGAGATCTTCATCTCCCTAGCATTGGTACAGCAGGATTTAATAGTGTGCCTGAGCCAGGCGGTGGTGGCGCATGCCTTTAATCCCAGCACTCGGGAGGCAGAGACAGGCGTATCTCTGTGAGTTCGAGGCCGGGCTGGTCCGACAGCCTCCAAAACAATACAGAGAAACCCTGTCTCGTAAAACCAAAAAAGAAAAAAAAGAAAAAGAGTGTGCCTGACTGGTGTGGGGGTGCATGCCTTTAATTCCAGCCCTTGAGGCAGGTAGATCTCTATGAGTTTGAGGCCAGCTAGGGAACAAGTTGCACAGATAATCTGGGACATCCTGACTCCTTGAATACATAGCAGGGAAAGGTTGGGGATGGGGGTGGCTAGAAGGTTGAGAAAGGGACCAAACAACAGGGTGGACCAGGTTCATATCCCAGCAAGGGGAGAAAGGGCATCATCCAGGAGTGGAAGTAGAAGTAAATGAAGGCCATCAAGTTAACTCACTAGGACTTGGTGGAATTTGGTCAGAGTGAGAATGACCGTCTAGCAGGATCAGGAATTCCAGAAAAGGGTTTGGTGTGGACATATTGAGGGGTCTTTGGGTGAGGCAGCAAGCAGAGAGTCTGGAGACAGGCTGCAAGTGGAGTGGAGTGGAGTGGAGGAGTGGAGTGGAGAGTTAGGTAGAACACATCAGGGTTAGGAAGAGGTTAAATCTCTGGGGACAAATGAACTTGCACAGGGAGGTGAATAGACCCAGAGCTGAAGAGTGCAGAGAGGGCTGCTGAGCAGAAACCAGCAGTTAAAACCTGGACATCGCTAGGAGAGGATGCTCACCAGCTGAGCAGGAACCAGCAGTTAAAACCTCAACAGCGCTAAGAGAGGATGCTCACCAGCTGACCAGAAACCAGTAGTTAAAACCTCAACAGCGCTAAGAGAGGATGCTCACCAGCTGAGCAGAAACCAGCAGTTAAAACCTCCACCGTGCTAGGAGAGGATGCTCACCAGCGTGCTGTGAGAGGAGGAGGGCAGATAACCCCATGAGACTTTCTTTGAAGGCACTGGGGCATGGAAGGGTTGGGAGAAATTGGCGATTCAGTGTTACAGGCAGATAACCTTTTCCTGTTTTGTTTTGGGCTTTGAGTCTGCTTTCATTCCAAAGGAAGCCATCTTAAAGGTGGGGATGAGATGGGGAGAGAAGAGGGAGAAAGAGAGAAACAGAGGGTGGGGACAGAGCGTGCATATGAATTATGCGGGGTAGAACAAGGCCCAGAAGAATTGGATGCTTGCCCACAAGGTAGAGGGACCTGGTGAGGGCTTGACCTGAGCAGGGCACAGGTTGTATGTTTGACTTTCTCTGGATCTGCCTTTTCTGGTGGCAGAGCCTGGCTGGCTCCCACTC